GCTCCCGGCCACCGCAGCCTCGACCTGCTGGGCTTCGGCGGTCCTTCCACCTCAGCCTTCTGAGTAGCCAGAACTACAGGCATGTGCTACCACGCCTGGCTAATTTTTTATTAATTGTAGAGACGAGGTCTTGCCAAGTTGCCCAGGTGGGTCTTGAACCCTCAGGCTCAGGCAGTTCACTAGCCTCAGCCTCCCAAAGTGCTGGGATTACAGGCTGAGCCACTGAGCCCAGTGGATTCTGTCATATTCTTGCCATTCTGGTAGATGTGTAGGCCGAGCGCACTCCAGCCTGGGGGACAGAGTAAGACTCCAACCCCCCCACACACAAAAAATGGATGTGTAGCAGTATCTCATTGTGGCTCTAATTTGCATTTCCCTAATGACTGATGATGTTGAGCATCTTTTCCTACTTAGTTCTCGTTTGTAAAATAGCGTTAGTGCTTTCTAATGCATTAATTGACAGCATCATATTTGGTGTTTTGTTCTGGGTTAGTGCCTGCCTGTTACGGTCTATCACACACACGGGAGGACTGACTTATCCAGCCTCCACCTGCATAGAAGCTTATGGGATGACTCCTGGTGCAAGCAAGGCTGTCAGTTTCTTTTTGAGTTGGAGTCTCACTCCATCTCTCAGGCTGGAGGGAAGTGGCATGCTCACAGTCACCGCAGCCTCTACCTGCTGGGCTCAGGCAATCCTTCCATCTCGGCCTTCCAAGAAGCCAGGACTACAGGCAGGCACCACCATGCCCGGCTAATTTTTTGATTTGTTGTAGAGATGAGGTTTTACCAAGTTGCCCAGGCTGGTCTCGAACTCCTGAGCTGAGGCAATCCTCTTGCCTCGGCTTCCCAAAGTGCTGAGATTACAGTCTTGAGTCACCACTCCCGGCCTAATTAATGAGTTTCTAACCATAGCCTGATTGGGGGGAAGGTCAGTGCTCTCTCTGAGGATTCTTTAGGAAAAGGGCTCCTCTTTTTGAGGACTGCTCCAGCCTACTCTCCAGCTCCTGTGACCTCTGACAGGACAGGGCATGGGTCTGGGCTTCAAGAGGCTGCTCTGACCTCTGGGCCCCACCATCCTACCTTGCCGTACCACAGGTAATGCTCTGCCTGGGTGCGCAGGAGAAAGACATCATTGGAGTTGAGGGAAGAGGCATAGGCTGGAACCTCCACCGCTTTGGTGTTAGATGTGTCATTTCCTTGAATCTGGAAGAGTCTCACTGGAGGGTCGGGCTCACCGTTCCCTTTCCTGGAAGTCCCACCCTCGAGAGAAGAAAAGCAGAGTTCAGACGTAAGGAGCACCGTGTGAGCAGAGCACGTGGCTAGCTGTTGCAGGAATAGGATGTTTTAACATCATCTTTGCCCTTGAGGAGCTTCTGGGCTGATGGGGAGGGGTCAGGTGAACTGGAATTAGGGCACTGACAATAGCCTTCATTCTGGGAACTTTCCCATACACCAGGCTCTGGCTAACACCCTTTCTCCATCACTTTACTGATCCTACGATAACTCTCTGAAGTACAGATGAGGAAACTGAGATGTAGAAATCCATCTAATAAGTGGCAGGCTGGGACTTGACCCCAGCCTTGAGTGATACCGGGCATGTGACATCATGCATTGCCTGGTGGTGCTCCAGCCAGGACATCATGAGAGAAGTGGGACTTGAGTCTGGAGGGACATGTTCGCAAGGGGAGGGGTGTCATATGGTCCAAGTGAGGTCTAATGAGGAGACCCCCCCCGACTTCAGTCGGGGGGGTACAGGTTAGGGAGCTGGCGGTCACACACCTGCACAGGTCAATGGGTCAGATGCTGCAAGACCTGGAACACAACTGAAATGGTGGCTTAGACTTGAAGCCATGGGCAGCTGGGATTCACTTCAGTGTCTCAGCGAGATTAGCCCTCTTCTTTTCTATGTCTGATCCAGCCTTGCTCCCATCCCACCCCTCTGATAGCCCCTTGCTGGGTTGTTAGTTGCGAGCATTCCTGCTCATAAGTAATTGTTTTTTGGTTTGTTTGGTTTTTGGTTGGAGTCTCACTCTGTTGCCTAGGCTGGAGTGCAGTGGCATGATCGTGGCTCACTGCAGACTTGACCTGCTGGGCTCGGCGATCCTTCTACCTCAGCCTTCCAAGTAGCTGGAACTATAGGCATACACCACCACGCCCAGTTAAACTTTTGATTTATTGTAGAGATGGGGTCTCACCATGTTGCCCAGGCTGGTCTCGAACCCCTGGGCTCAAGGCAGTCCTCTCGCCTCAGCTTCCCAAAGCGCTAGAATTATAGGCGTGAGTGAGCTACCATGCCTGGCCCTCATGAGGATCCTCACCTCAAAGATAACCAGCTTCCCCTTGAAGATGGCCATGAAGTGGCGTGGCTCCTTCCCCATGCTGACGCGAACCTGCACGGCGGCCCCATCAAACTGCCGGTCCACCTCCACTGCCTGGTATGCCGAGGCTGCCAGCTCATCCTGGGAGGCGTGGCGGCCCTGCAGTGGCGAGAGGAGAGAGATGGACCCCTGCTTCCGCGCCCCAGCCCAGGGGTCACAGGAAACCTCAGGATCCGAAGCTGGGAGCCTGCACCAGGCCTACCTGCCAGATGTACAAGATGTAACATGGCCTTCCAGTCACCTCATACGTGTAGAGAACCAGATAGCAGTCTCCCCCGTAGAAGAAGCCGTACCACTGGTGTTCCACGGGGACCAGCTCCAGGTTCTCAATTCTCCAGACCTGGGCATGGAAGGAGACGCCATTTTCTAGAGATGGAGGGGGCCTTCCAAGTGGGGAAAGTGCTATCATCATCCCAAGTACCCCTGTCCCCTGGGCTTCCTTCCCAGCGGCCCCAGTGGCGAGGGCTCATCACATTTGCATGATTTGAGTTCTGAAGTGAGCTGTGTCGTGTGGTCAGATGCATCCTGTCACGGCTCGGCCTCTGCAGACTGAGCGATGATTTGAATGTACCGATGGGAGTTATTGACAGCACATATGAGGATGTGACGTTCACGGCCCTGAAGACTGCAGACTTGCAAGACTCTCAGAGAAGAACACTTCTGGGGTGTCCCAGGAGAAGAGGAAAGCGAAGCAAGCCCAGAGCTGCCTGCGCCCCAGCCCCACCTCCAACAGGCAGCCAAGGGGCCAGTGCCACCTGCCCTTGGTGGTTGAGTCACTGGGCTTACCTCCACTTTGCCGTGGCCATCGTCAACCATTCTTTCCTGGGCAGCTACCTCAGGCTTGGTGTGCAGCAGGGTCACGTCAAACTTACCCTGGAAAACTTGAGCTGCAGGGAAGGGGTCGGGAAGCATGGAGTGAGTGAGAAGCATCTGTGCTTGCCTTTCCAGAGAGTCCCGGCCATGAGAGGCGATCTGGGGGCCATCTCACCAATTTTGCCAATGCTGAACATCTTCCCGAGGCCCACGGTCTGGTCCTTCCCTGACCACTTCTGGAACAGCTGCTTGAACATGGCCGACTCAGCCCCGTCGTTGACAATCTCCACGTTGGTGCTGCTGGGGTGGCCCTTCATCTTGATGAAGCCCTGCCGAACCCCGGTCCCCAAAGGCAAGGCAGCCGGGGAACACAGTGAGTTCTCTGCCTGTCTGGTATTTGTCTCTCCGAAGCCAGTTCGCGGGATCCCTATCCTCTGGGCATCAGAGCCAAATTCTTTTTGAGTCAGAGTCTCACCGTCCCCCAGACTGGAGTGCTGTGGCACGCTCAAGGCCACCGCAGCCTCGACCTGCTGGGCTCCGGCGATCCTTCCGCCTCAGCCTTCCAAGTAGCTGGAACTACAGGCGCGCGCTACCACGCCCGGCTGATTTTTTGATTTATTGTAGAGACCAGGTCTCGTCAAGTTGCCCAGGTTGGTCTCGAACCCCTGAGCTCAGGCAATTCTCTCACCTCTGCCTCCTAAAGTGTGGGATTACAGGCTTGAGCCACTGCGCCTGGCCCAGAGTCAAATTCTAACTCACTTCTGTCTAAGGACCAAGTTACCTGCCTCAGCAAATGACTGAGACATTCTGGCATCTCCTCACTGGCCTTCGTGATGATGGTGATTGTTCTTTTTTTTTTTTTGCAAGATCCCCTGTGCCATGTTCTTCCTGCACTGATGTACTTACTGACTTTGTGTCTCATTCATGTGCTCGTTTATTGCTCTGTAAGAGCTTCTTGCTTGGGCATCCTTGAGGAGAGGGCCATTAACCTTGCTGTGTGATATCCCTTTCAATAATATCAGCCACCTTTTATTGAGCAGGTGCTGTGTGCCAAGTCCTGTTCTGAGAACTTTCCGAGTGGCATTTCATCCTCACAAGACCCCCAGGAGGTGGGTACTATGATCCCTGTGTTAGGCAGGAGGAGACTAAAGCTCAGGGGTGTTAAGTAGTTTTCCCCAGAGCACTAAGCAGGGACTGGAATGCCAGTTGTCTGTCTGACTTCCATGTAACTGCAGTGCTGTGTGCTCAAGACATAGTGTGACCTTTGAAGTGGCACATCTGAGGTGCTAATTGGCAGAATTTGGGGGCAATATTGCACGTCTGAAGCTCCTACCAGGGCTTTAGACATGGCTGCCTGTTTCTCAACCTTTGTGGCTCCTTTTCCTTTCCACACGTAGATCTTGGTTCCGCCCTGGTCCAGGATGTAGCAGTCCTGAAATAGTCAAGGATGGTTGTGGTTACGGTTGCTCGAGACCAGAAGGAAGGACTTTGCCCAGGGCCTGCTTCTGAAGCCACGTGGGGCTGCCCCAAGCCCGGCCCACGAAGCTCTACTCACATCGTGGTTCAGCAAGTCCTGGACCAGAGGCCTGGTTGCTACCTCTGTGACTGCTAGCTGCCCAGCCGAGTCTGAGACACTGGAGGAGGGGAGAGGTTAGTTTGTGCCTTTTCCTCTACAAAGCATCTAGTAGTAACCTCATGTTTTTTGGCTTTGTTTTAGTGTGGGGTTTCTGGGTAGAGTTTGACTTCTTAAGACAGATATGGGCCAGGCTCGGTGGCTCAGCCTGTAATTCCGCCCTTTGGGAGGCCGAGGTAAGTGTATTGTCTGAGCTCGTGGGTTCGCCACCTGCCTGGGCAACTTGGCGAGACCTCATCTCTACAATAAATCAAAAAATTAGCCAGGCGTGGTAGCGCGTGCCTGTAGTTACAGCTACTTCGAAGGCTGAGGTGGAAGGATCGCCAGAGTCCAGCAGGTCGAGGCTGCGGTGGCCGGGAGTGCCATGGCACTCCAGAGAGTCTGGGCGACAGAGTGAGACTCCAACTCAAAAAAAAAAAAAAAAGAAAAGGACAGACATGGCTTGCGTGTAAACAACATACAGACTCTGTGCTCTGTTGGAGACTTTTTTGCGTTTCTTTCCCAGACACATCCCTGGGCATGTATAGAACAGAGTAAAGGGAGGTCTCCGCAAGAGATTGGGAGCATAGCTAACAAGAACAGATGACAACTGCCTTCTTGAGAGGGGCTCTCCAGGCTTCTTCTAGGAGTGCATTTGAAAAGGGCTGAGAAGAAAGCCCAACTCCTCCACCCAAAACAAAGGTGGCTACACCCACGCCAAGTTAGCCGGTGTTCTAGAGCAGGGGTCCTCAACCCCCAGGCCACAGACTGGTGCCAGTCCATGGCCTGTTTGAAATCCGGCCGCATGGTAGGAGGTGAGCAGTGGGCGAACAGAGCTCCATCTTCTGTCAGATCAGCAGTGGCATTAGGTTCTTATAGGAGCGTGAACCCTATTGTGAACTGTGCAGGCAAGGAATCTAAATTGTATGCTCCTTATGAGAACCTAATGCCTGATGATCCCTCACCCCCCTCTTCCACGAAAGCAGTCCCTGATGCCAAAAATGTTAGGGACCACTGCTCTAGAGGACACCTTCGTCCCTATCCCAGCCAGCAGCCAGACTCCACTACTCACTGATACAAGGTGATATTTGATTTCTGCCGCTGGTCTATGGCCTCATCAGGGACTGCAGGCTTGACAATGGAGCGGCGGCCAAGGCTGTCCTGAAGGACCTTCAGTAGCTCTGGGCTGGCCGCCTCCTTATCCCCCTCGATCACGCCGATTTCCACACGGCCCCCTCGCTCCCTATCCCGAATATCCTTCGCCAGAAGCATAGCCTGTCAAAGAAGCCCAAGGAATCCCTCAGCTCACCAGGGATCATTTTCTGCTCACCAGGGACCACGTGGGGGTGGGATGGCTTTGAAGGGGAGCAGCCTGGAGCCCACACGTGGGGGTGGGATGCTGAGGAGCACAGGGTGAGTCACAAACCCGCACACAGGGCTGTCCTCGAGACAGATTCTGCTCAAAGGCAGGGGTCCCCTTTGATTCTTGGGGAAGGGCCAACATGAAAGGAAGAAGAAAAAGGTGCTGAGAGAGTGCACTCCAGCCACGGCCAGACCTTTAGGCGCTCCCCACTGTTGCTCTCTGGGCCATTCCACTGGACGATGACCTTCCCAAGGTCCAGCAGGAAGACATCCCCTCGGTTGAAACTGTCCCAATTCATTTCCACCTGCAGATGAAAGGTGGACATCAGTCAGGAGGCGTTCTCAGGGGCCAGGTGGCGAAGCCCTGGGCCCGGCATGCTGGGTGGGACTCACCTCGGTGGCGGTGATGTTTCTCTTCCCCTTCACGTGGAGCAGCCGCTGCACATCATGGGTGTTGGTCTCCACGTGCTTCATCCCAGAGGCCACGCCCCCCTTCTTGTAGCTGCGGGGACATCCGTGCAGTTATTAATGAGTGTCTGCTGCATGCTAGGCTCTGAGGAGACAGTTGTGAGTGGCACAGAGGCAACCCCTGCCCGTGTGGCGATGACCGTAAGTCAGCAAGGTGGATACAGGTGGTGGCAGCTGCTGCCCACAAATGGACTCTTGTAGAGTGGCTCTTGTAGAGAGGTTGGGGCTGTCTTCCCTGAAGAAGTGACATTTGAGCTGAGATGCTACAAGGAAAAGGAACCAACTACCAAGGCAACAGTCCTCCAGGCAGAGGAAACATTCGCGAGAAGCACCGTGTGCACAGAGGGCTTGTTTTGTTCCAGGAACTGTCGGAGTCTCAGTGTGTCACAGGAGAGGGCCACACGGCGATGGCAGGAGTGTAGTGACACCAAGGCCTTAAGAGTCCCGCCCCAGGAACCAGCTCTCCTGCCTTGACACTCAGCCCCTCACCCAGCCTGAACCGGGCGTCCCGCACCCTAAGGAAATGCAGGAGGTAGTCCCGGAGCAGGAGGGCTTTGTCCTTGGTCCTCAGTGACTCCATGCGGTACTCTGTGCCCAGCAGACCTTAGTGGAGCCTGCCAGCTTGCAAGAAGCTGACCTTGGCCCAGGCTCAGAATTCTTGAGCTCATTGGAATTCCTTTTTTTTTTTTCTTTTTTTTTTTGAGTCGGGGTCTCTGTTGTCCAGGCTAGAGTGCCCTGACATGATCACAATGATTATGGCTCACAGTAGCCTTGACCCCCCTGGACTCAAGTGATCTTCCACCTCAGCCTCCTGAATAACAGACTTCAGGTGCGCCACCACACTGGCTAATTCTTATTTTTATTTTTGTAGAGACAAGGATTTGCTATGTTGCCCAGGCTGGTCTCGACCTCCTGGGGTCAAGCAGTCTGCCCACCCGGCAGCCTCCCAAAGTGCTGAGATTGCAGGCGTGAGTCACCATGCCCAGCCTGAAATGCCTCTTTTTTGTTTCAATCTCAAGTGCAGAATTCTGAGTTAAGCATCTCTGTGTATGGAACACTGTCACCGCTGGCCTCTGCAGCCCCTCTTGTGTTGAATGCCTGCACGTCCCTGGTATCCGCCCCACTCCTGTCTCTCTCCCACATCACCCCCATTCTCACAGCTGAATGTCTCTAGTAAAATGTGTCCATTGTTTTGTGTGCGTGTATGTTTTAAAACAAATTGGCATGCTGTTGGACATCTCAGCCTGTCTCTTGCTGTGTTCCGTGAGCACCGTGTTCCAAGTTCTGCCCAGACGTGAGGTCTCACCTGTCACTCTGGCTGCTTGTTATACTCCCCGGTGGGCATCTCCAGACTCGCAGCGATGGATACCTGTCACCTGCTTCTTCCTCCCACCACTAACAAGCCTGCTGTGCACATTCCGTGTCCTGTGCCCTCGTTGACCTCTCTATGAGTCACACACCCGGAAGTGGGGTTTGCCCAAGTGACACCAACCACTCTCCAGATGCTGGGCTGGTCCACACCTACCCCCGCAGGGCACCGAGCTCTGGTTTCCCCACAGCCAGGCCAGTAGTTGGCACCACCAGCTCTGTCATTTGCTACTCTAGTGGGCGGGAGTGATAGCTGCGTCCGATTTGCATTTCTCTGATTACTTTCTTCATGTGCATATTGGCCCTGCGGGCTTGCTCTTGTGTGAACTTATGTTTCTGTCCCTGCTCTGTGCCACTACTCACATGACGCCCTGCTTGAAGTAGCCCCGGAAGGTGTCAGACTCGTGGTGCTGGACCTCTCGGTGCTGCACGGGGCTGCCTCCCAGGTAGTCGTCCAGCTGCGTGGTGTAGATGGCTGCGCAGGTCTGCTCATCCTGGGAGGAGTCCTTCCCGATCCAGAAGTGGATGTCCTGGGAGAGGAGTCCGCCCACTCTCCGGGTCTGGGAGGGAGCCAGAGAGAGAGTGGGTCAGGGGCCAGCTTGCCTCCCTTTGGTGCTGGCCCTTCAGGCATGGGAAGGACGCAGAGCACATGCCCTGCCTCTGGCAGGCTGGGGGCCCTGTCCCTCCCTGCAGCGGGTGCTGGGGCTGCCCCAGCCCCCGTCAGACCCGCGATTGTGGCTCAAGCTCTGGCAGCCCACACTCCTCCCCACATTTGGGAAGAGTTGACAGCTTTTTCCTCAAATAGATGGAGGTCAGTGGGGATCTCTTCCCAGCCAGGTTGCAGGCTGACTTTCCGGCCCCCGCCCCCTGCCCCCGTCAGCGCCTTCAGTGAATCTCCTCCGTGAGGGTGAGCGCTTTGAGGCTGGAGACAGGGTATGGTCTGGCCTTCCTCCACACCCCTCCTTGGGGCTCCTGGCCCTGGGAGGGAGCAGTGCTTCTGGGGGGCAGCTCACTGAGGTACAGACCCTTTGATGCAGCTAAAACCCAGACCTGTTGATGACCTTTGGTGGTGACGCTGGAGGTCTGTGCTGCATAGCACTGAGGGGCTGCTGAGATGGATACCAGGGACTGGATTACCTTCCTTCACCATCACATCTCCCAACAGAGCCCCAGGGCTGGCTCCCAAGGGAGAGGCTTGCAGAACGGGGAGGATGGCGCTCACCGAAAGGACAACGTAGCAGTCCCCTTCATAGAAGTTGCCGTGGGCGCTCAGGGGCACCAGCGCCAGCTCCATTTTCTGCAAGGTCAAAGGGTGTGCATAAGCCTCACTCCCCCCCCCCCCCCCGGCCAAGTCTGCCTATCCTCTCTGTCCCTTGGTGCAGGTGGCAGGGAGGGGCGAGGGAGAGTTTCCCCGTGACCTTATGAGCGAGGCAGTCAGCCACAGGACTCGTGTGGTTGCCCTCTGGCTCCTGTGAGCTTTGCGGCTTCGCCCTGGATCCAAATCCAGGTTCCTGCCTTGGTTTCCCTCGCCCTGTTCTCCTCTCCCCTCCCTGTTTGGTCTCATCTGCTGCACCAGAGGGGCCTGTGAGCCACCCCAGCCCTTTCAGGGTAAAGAGCTGGATAGAAACTCTCGAGTGCCAACCCTCCTGGGGCAGTTGGGCCAGTGCCTCCAAAGCTGTTCCAGCCGTCCACCGTGCTGGCCAGGCCCCGTGGGAAAGCACACCACAGGTCGTGGGGCCGTGGGACCCAGAGCAGCCACTCTGGAGGGTGCTGGTGGTGTGCGGGCCTCCGTGCCACGTGTCTCACATTTGGAGTCCAGGCCGGGGCCCTGATTTGTCACTGCGTGTACGGCTTGTCCCAGGAGGGCCATTCATACAAATTGATGTAGATTTTTGCCACTCTCTCCAAATGAGGGGAACCTGCAGCCATACTTGTGTGTGTTCTGTGTGAAATGTGTGTGTACAGTATGAAAACATTAAATATATTGCAAGTTGGGTGACCCCGTTTTAATGCAAGCGTCCTGGGCCTCCCGGTCTCCCAGAGGCTTGCTGGAGAGCTGTGACCTCCCCTGCTCACTGAGGTGAGGGTCGAGAAGGGGCTCAGAGAGGGTGGAGGTAGGGGCTCCTCATATTCAGCGGGGGGAGCCCTCCAGGCCAGGGGGGTTCCCAGCTGTAGATTGCGGGAGCCCGGAGTCGCCCAGAGGGTCTCTGGGCAAACGGAGAGGGAAGGGCAGCCTCCGCCCCACGCTTTGTGGGAGCCAGAGTGCCAGGGAAAACAGGTTCTCTTTCTCTGACCACAGAGCATCCGGGATTGTCCTGGATGGGTCCCAATCTCTTTCCAGGGCATTTACCACAGGTGCAGCCACACCGAGCAGGTGGCTGGATAAAGGGAGAGCTTGTTTTTGCTCAGAAGGGGAGGGCTCCGAGCATTTCCCCCACCTGCCAACCCACCCACCTGCTTGGAGCGCCCAGGAGGGCCAGGGATGGGAAAATGCGCTTCGATACCACCTCTCAGTCCTCCAACCTTGGGCTTCGGAGGGCAGGGGGGCTGTCGTCTAGCAGGACTCAGGTGGCCCCTGCCCAGCTCACCTCTATTCTCCAGGTGATGATCCCAGGGTCATTGCCCACAGCCCTGAAGGCGCTGCTCAGAGGCATGGTGATCGTCTTCCCGGGACTGAAACGTCACAGAGCAAGAGGGAAGGTGATGCCTCTCACGGGGGCATCCACCCCTTTTTCTCCCAAGTCCCTTCCCATCTCCTGCTGTGCCCTTGTGCATCCTGCACCCTCTCACAGCGATGGAGCCATGATTTGTCTGGGTACTGCACATGGTCAGCCGGCCTGGCTGGGGATCCCCCCACACACGTTCTGCTTCCCACCTGCCTTTTCCTCACTAGGAGCAGCTCTGGTCAAGGTCATGGTCATTTACCAAAGGGGTGAGCAGTATGTTAAGTCCTGTGTGGACTCACTTTGCATGTTATCTGATCCTCAGAAGATACTGTCTTTGTCTTAACATTGTAGTGATGCTGAGGTTCAGAGAGGTTGGATAACTTGCTCACTAGAATGAAATCCTTGTCTGACCCTAAAACCTGTGTTTCTAGCCACTCTGATGTACCACGACCCTTCCTAAACCTGTCTCCGTTCAGTGACACCTGGGCCGAAAAGCTGGTCAGAAAAGATATTTCCAAACTGAGCTGGCTTCCCTGACTCTTCCCCAAGTCTTTCCTCTAACTCTGCCCAGGCTCCTGCTGGCAAGGGTTTCTCACGGTCCACTCTTTGGCCTTTGACCATTTTTTTTAACCAAACTGTTCTAAGACTCAGCCCTTCCTGCTTTTGTCATATGACGAATATGTTCCCTGTGTCTTCCAGAAGTGAAGGCAAAGTAAAATGGCAGGACTGGACCTGGGACAAAGGGTTCGGGGTGACAGACGGGTGTGGCCCCACCCAACCTGTGGGCCGACCGCCTCCCTGCCCCGCTTCCACATGGTCCCAGCTTCTCTGGGGAGGTGCTGACCTCAGAGAATGGAGAGGTTGCCAGTCCCTTCGGTCCTGAGCAAGGCAGGGTGGGAAGAGGAAGGCAGAGAGCCGTATAGATCTGTACCCTCTGAGCCCAGGCGTGTCCTGGGTGACGAAGCCCACACCACGGCCAAAGTCGCATAGCGGCTTTACGTGCTAAAAACACCTGCCTGGCTCCTGCTCGCAGGGCGCTTGCAATCTGATAATATTCATCACTGATGAATGCTAGATTCATTTCTCCCAAGAGGCAAAGGAAAAAGGAAGCGACTGGTAGGTTTCTGTAGGATGAAAATCATCACCCAGAAAGGACCGTATGGAGTTGTGCTATTTGTGGGCAGAGTGTGCTTGTTCAGAGGAGCTTGTCTGGCCATTTTTTTTTTTTGAACCTTGATGGATGAAGCCAGGTTTGGAGAATATGTGCCATTATCTGGTATGGATGTTGGCGAAAAACCAAAAAGCAAACTCCCTTTGTCTCCTGCCATGGCAGGACGAAAGCAGAGCAGTGACACAGAGCAGCGTTGGTGGATTTAATTCGATAACTTCTGCAGCTCCGCCCTACGCTGCTCGGAATCGCCAGGGACATATTTGTTTGGGTTTTCTTCAGACCCCAGATTTCAGTCATTAAAGGCAAACGCTATGACCCAATTAGGGAGAGGGGACAAGGGACAATGAATTCATTCCTTGGAGATAGAGAAGTGTCACCCTGGTAAAAACCAAACCAACTGGCACTAATTAGGACTGTGGGCCTCGGGAGCGGAAAGCCATCCCATTTCCCAGCAGGAACTCAGGAGACAGCTCACCAGGCCAGGGACCCCAAACCCAGGAGAGGGTGTGCCCCAAGGAGGGGCTTCCTGCTATACTGAGACACCCAGCAAATGCAGATCTGACATCAAAGTCCCCCAGAGCTGGGGCTCTCCCTCTTTCCTCCCTAAGTCCTAATTTATTAATTCAGGATCCTTTGAGAGGACTGCAGAAACCCCCGGAGTGGAGCACAGTTTTAAAATTCCAAGTTCAAAGCTGGTGCCCTCAAATTCCCACCGAAGTGTCCTGAGCAGAGAAAGCTGGTTTGAACTTCTGCCTCACCCTCCCACTTAGCAGGGGGAGGCTGGAAGGGGTCTACTCTGTCCTTCCCATCTCTAAACACACACCCAACCTGTTCTGTTGTCTCCAAGAAGGCTGGGGACTTCTCAGTAGGAGGAAGATGGCAAAACCGGTTGCAGACTCCTGCTTCAGCCCCTGAGAAGCCTCCTCCCAGAAGACAAAGCCAAGGGACCCTCAAATTCTTCTCTTCCTTTCCTTCTGTCCTCATCGGTGGGATTGCTCAGTGACATGCCCATAAGCCAGCGAGACCTTACCTTGCCTTGTGCTCACCGGACTTCCCGTTTTCCCACAAGTGAGCAGCAGTGTATTGAATAACCGCCCAAAGCAGGAGGCCCCGGGTCCAGTCGCCTTCGCTTAGTAATGGCTGCACAGGCACTGGGTTATATTTGCTTGTGTTTGCATCCTAACCGCATTTTCCTAGTCCTGGCCAATCACAGCCAACCCAGCACTGGGCTTGACTTATTCAAACCAGAGGGAAAGCTTTATCTGTTCCTATTCAAAACAGCAAAACAAGAAGAGCAGACTTTTAAGGGCTTGTTTCAGCTCCAGCTCCACACCCTGATCTAATTGATTTTTTAAAAGTGCACAGCCCATCAATAATGCAGGAAAGCGCGTGGGAGGATGTGAAATTTGCCTATTGTAGATATGCATTATGCTGATGACAGAAGGCAGGGCCTGGGGCTGCCCCGTGAGCCCGGCGATGTGATGTCCAGGCTGGCAAGAGCCTCCTTCAGCAGCTTCTGGGCATTTCTTAGAGGAAGGGGCAGTGTGGGAGGAGCCAGGAATGTTATTAGGACACACTGTCTTTCTCTTGAGTGACTCCACCAGACATACATTAAACGATCAATGCTTGAGAGCCTACTGTGTGCCAAGAACCATGCTGGGCTGGAAATGTCAGGGCTCTCAGCCTGGGAGAATTAGCGAGGGGCCTGGAAGACTCCAGTTCCCTGAGGGGTTCCTGCACAGAGGCCACCAGGAAACCAAGCATGTGCTCGTTAAGCACTTGGATGGCAATGGAGTTCACAACCTTGAGAGGAGCAGCATGAGGCCGGATCCCAGCTGGTGTGACGGCCTGCCCAGCCCAGGTGCTTGTTTCAGCTCCTGTCCGAAGGGGTTGCAGGGGACGGAGGATGTTGCTGGCTGAGTGCCTGAATGAACCACCACGGGGTCGGGAGGCAGCTCCCGTTCCTGGAGAGGTCTTTTTAAATCCCACTTTTATTAATTAATTGTAAGTAATACAAAGGTTCCAAAAATATAAACAGACACTTAATGGCGTCCTACATTTCAAGTTTTTGCATACAACAAATGTATCAAACCATGAATCTGTAAGCAAGGTGGTCAGAATCCCATAGCCCAGTCACAGTGGGAAGCAGATCCCTACCCTCCAAATGGCATCTTGAAGGGGGAAGCGGCACGAGATGGGACGTGTCACATTCGGGGTCAATACAAGCAAAAAAGCTCACTAGGCCCAGAGGAGCGTGGGCCTCAGGGACAGGTCCCACAGCTTTAAAGGAACGGACCAGCTGGCCCAGACCTCTGACCTCCTCTCCCCTGGTTGAATGCGGTATTTACTGGCATTGGAGAAAAAAAAAGAAGAAAAAAAAAAAACCCCAAACCCCTGTTTACAAAAAAGGTAGCTGAGGGATGACAGTGGTTGAGCAATCAACTGAAGACCTGAAGGGGAAATGGACTTACCTTTCTCATCACTTGGCCGGGTTGGGACACTGGAGGCAGGGCAGCCCTACAGGGGGACTTGCCCTACCAAGTGAGGCCTCAGGAGCAAGGTAGGGGCAGCAGGATAGAACGGGACCCATTGCCCAGGAAATAGCTGCCCATGGACTTCCCGTGCTTTTAGGGCCACTGTTACGAGATGAGCTTACTCCTTACAAAATGGTTCAAATCTTTGGGAGGCAGGAGGGAGCTAACAAAGGCCCCAGGCTAACTGAAAGCAGATTTATTCAACCTCTCTAGTAAGGGACCCGGGGCCTACAGAGCATCCACTCTACAATGTGCAGAGTGGAAACCCTTACCTGACCCTTTTCCAGACTGGTCCTGTGTCCACAGCTCCCCCTATGAGAGGGACACGAACATCAGGCTTTTGATTTAGAAGCCCAATCAGAGAGACACACTGTGTCCCTGAAGAGGCACCTTAAAGAACTGAACCTGGCAGGGGGAAAGATTCCTGACATGGCTTGAGTGGGGGCTGGCCGGATACAGCGGCCTGTCACCTCCCAGAGACCAGGCTCACATGGCAAGGGCTGGTGGGAAGCCCCAGAAAAGAGCCCGGAGGGACGGGCTCCCTCCCAAGCTGCCCTCCTCCAAAGCAGAGTCTGGCCCGACTACTCCGAGGAGGGAGTTTTACAGTCGCCACCTGCCCCTCACATGCTGCGACACTGGAAGCCGGACAGCAGAGAATGACGAGGCTGGCTCTGGTCCACGTGGATGGACCCTGTTTAGATTGGGCTGAGTTGCTTCTCTGGGGAAGGAGAGAGGAGGCGGGAAGGGCATCTCTGGGGGAGAGTGGCTGGCAGGCAGGATTGGCGAGGGAGGCCCGTAAAGCAGAGACTGCTTGCAGATGCAGGGGGAACCCTCCTGCCAGGCTGCCTTGGGCTTGGTCGTGGGTGGATGGGAACCCTCCCACCACACCGCCCCGGGCTTGGTCACGGGTCACATTCCATGCACTTGGACAAGCCTGTTAGGGGGGTGGCACACACATTCCCTCCACCTTGAAAAACATGGAGATTCAAGGTGGGAGAAACTGGGAACTCAACCAGCTCAAACCCTCTTATTGCTTATTTACTCAGAAAAGCTAGGCTGGGCCCAGGTGGCCCAAGACTCAGCCAAGGGCTAATCCTTTGGCTGGGGCTTGGAAGAGAGGCCCCTTAACAGGATGCAATAACAGGATGACAGCCTAGGCCAGGGCTGGATCTGAAGCCGGGATGGCCTGGAGTCTGCGCTCCCACCTTTCTTCAGGAGACAGGGCTCCTGGCTAGCACCTGGGGCCCTCTCCTTTACCGGCAGCAGGACCCCACAGGCACCGACACTGCCGGGAAAATGCCTACATGAGCTCTGAGGACTCCGTTCCACTTCCCGGTCAGCTGTCCCTTAGAACACCATGCTGCGGCCCTACCACCTGGCTGTCTTGAAACTGGTGAGTTCCTGAGGCTGGACCTAGCATGAGGAAGCTAGAAGGGCTACCGGGGTAAGTCCTGAGTGAGTGGTGTCCCTGCACCCGAAGCAATTCACCATGCTCTGTGGCACCTGCCTCCAGGGAGACCAGAGATGGGGACAGGAGCTCCCTCCCATCCCAGAAGGTAAGGGAAGGAGTGGGAAACCCCACCCCACCCTGGGGGAGGCCACGATTAAGGCAGTGACACTGAGGTGGAGCTCCCTTCAGGGAGACCCCTGTGCTCCCAACGACAGCAGCACTTCCTCCTCTGTTTCCCACCCCGGGGAAACGCCTGTTTTATGATGGTTCTTTAAAGCATTCACTGTTAGAAACCTTTGAAAGCAAGAGATGCTTGGAGTGCAGGTGTGCATGGGGCCTACTCACACCTGACAGCAAAGGCAGGAAGCACGCAAGCGACAAGAACACCCGTCCCCCCCAGTCCAGGACAAGCACTTCTGAGGCCTTGGAGAGGAAGGGCGCCAACCAGGAAGGGCAAGGGCTGCGAAGACAGAGCTGGGTACAGGACAGCCCGGGAAGACTCGTCAGGAAAGAGCCCGCCCGAGAAGCAGGAGGGGCTGGGCGGCTTCCAGCCTCTGGAACAGAAGTCCTTGCGCCAACACCGGCGGAGATTCCCTGAAGAGCAGACCGTCGAGATGAAAGCCCAGCCGACTGCAGGCCCAGGGGATAGCACATTCTCGCTTGGCGGGTTTCCTCTTCCCTGTACCCAGCACCTCCCAGGCACCTCAGGCCCGGGACTGCAGCTCTGTCACGAACAAACCAGGCCCGACACGCCGTGTTTAGAAAGAGAATTTTAAAACAGGGTCAAGAGAACGGAAATCAGTTATCTGCCGTCTTCCAGGGCAGGGAGGAGACCGTCTTCCCCAGAGGCTCAAGACTATGGCTGGATAGTGAGGAAGGCAAGCCCAGCCCCCAGCCCTGGGGAGACACAGAAAGGGCCCATGCAGGCACACAGCTGGAGGTAAGTGCAGCCTCTGGGCCACAGGACCTGGTGGCCCCTGGGGACTGGTCTGGACACGAGTTGTCGTCTTCCCAGAAATGTCACCTTTTTGTCTGCAGCGGCTGGCTGGAGAATGATTTCAGAAAGGGTGCGCCTGGGTATCCAGAGGCCGCCCCTGACCCCTTGGCACAGGCCTTAACACTGAGAAAAGGCCGTAGTTTGGCAATGAGCCTTTGACAGTCTTCATCCCCGTAGAGCTCAGTGGCTCTTTGGGTGACAGATGAACTTGGGCAGTCGACCTTCCAGCTTATCCCCTGCTGAAACACTATGCCGGGGCCACAGTTCACGGCAACACATACACACTCTCACACACACGTCTCGGGAACCCGGCAACTCGGGCAGGCAGCGTTGGGTATCGTTGGTCTGGCGTTCGCCCACTGGGCATCTGACCTGTCCTAAGGCTCTTTTCCAGTCACTTCCCACTAACTCCAGGCCCTCAAGTGGGGTGCGCTAGCTTCTGCTCTGCCAGGCTAGTCATAAAGGCACAGTGTAGAAACGTCCCGTACTGGGATGGCCATTGCTTGGAAGCAGGGAAGGCTAAGGGGCCCGCAGCTGCCCGAGGCTGGTGTAGACATCATCTGCTCCGCTCAACTCCTCAAAGATTGGGATCAGGTTCAGCAACTCAGTATCTGCCATGTCATCAAACCAGGACTGCACAGGCACCTGGGGCGGGAGAATGTGGTGTCAATCTGACAGCCGTGTCCTCCCTGCCTCGCCGGTAGCGCCTCGAGGTGGGCTGGGCCGGCCTAATGGTGCTCCCAGGAAAGTCCCTGGTCCCACTGCCCAGCCCCTCCCGCTCCCTGCTGTGAGGGCATGTCAGGGGCCACTTACTGCATTCTCCGGGTGGAAAATGTACGAAGCAGGCGAGTTGTCCAGGATGAGCGTCTTCCTCAGGTCCCTGCCCAGACGGCTAAGGTCCTTGACGTAGCAGCCTTGGTGAAACACACAGGACTCCCGGAACAGGCGGGCCCGGAACACCCCGCAGCGGTCCAGCAGATCTGTCACGGGGTCGGCATACTGGGGGAAGAAGGATGGCACCCTGAAGCCCAGCTCGGAGCTGCTGACCACCACTGCAGCCACCTCGCCTGCTCCTGGTCCTCTTCTCCCCTGCTGCCCCTCAGTACCTTGGCCAGGCTGGCAGTGAAGAGAACACACTCGAAGAGTTCCCCCATCCGTCTCAGGAACTCATCCACATAAGGCCTCTTGAGCACGTACACCTGAGGGAAAGCAGAGGCTGGTCGGCGGCATTGGGGGTGAAGCCTTGCAGCATGGTCCCCCCTGCCAGCCACACGGAGCGGCCTCCCACGCCAGCCTCTTGGACCGCCTGGCTGGAATCCTCAGCCCCGCAGACCAGAGCACCACATCTCTCTGCATCAGGCCTCCATGGGCTCTGTGGTCCCAGCCTGAACCCAGCTCAGGAGGAAGCGCACGCACGTCCCAGGGGCCAGCTCTGCTTCCAGCGCGGGCCATCAGCTGCCTCCAGAAACAAGTAATCAAGAATAGGCCTCACAGATGGAAACAGCCTATCCTGGATTACTTGAATCCAGCCACAGCCTCGGTGGGGGCTTTCTGTCCTTGGCTCCGGCAGGACAGTGTGTCCAGGTCACCCTGGGCGAGAACAGATGCTTTCTGAACCCTCACGCACTCACATAGCTCCTCTGAGTTGCACTGGGAGAGGCGACCTGCTCCCCTGAAAGACCAGATGAGCTGCCGTGGGCTTGCGATGGCACACCGCATTTGTGCCCGTTCCTGCCAGCCACCCCAACGCTGTGCCCTCTTTCACAATCTTGCGTGTTTGGCCTGAGGGTTCTGGCTCCAAGCCCTGCACAGGTCCGTTTCCTATGCTTCCTGCCTGCACCAGATGCCGGAGAGCAGCTTCCCCGCAGCGCCTCTGACACACCAAGGGCGCGGCCTGTGCCTGTCCCTCCCAGAGCTGGCCTGAAGAGGCCACCAGCTCACCAGCCCCCTTGCCCCGCAGCAGGACACTCTGCTCCAGGTAGCCACAGCGTGGCTCCCGCTGGCCTGTCGCCCTCCAGTCTCCCACAGGCCCTTCCTCTTCTCAGCTGCTCATCAAGCTTGGATCCCTCCATCACTCTGCTCAAAACCTGCCGTGGGCAGGCAGCCCATCCCCTTTTTTTGTTTGAGTCGGAGTCTCACTCTGTCATCTAGGCTGGAGTGCAGTGGCACGCTCATGGCCACCACAGCCTCAACCTGCTGGGCTCCGGCCATCCTTCCGCCTCAGCCTTCCCAGTAGCCGGAACTATAGGCGCAGGCTACCATGCTAGGCTAATTTTTTATGTATTGTAGAGATGAGGTCTCACCAAGTGGCCCAGGCAGGTCTTAAACCCGCGGGCTCAGGCAATCCACTTGCCTCGGCCTCCCAAAGCGCTGGGATGACAGACCTGAGCCATGCGCCCGGCCTCTTTAATTACTTATTTGAGTCGAAGTCTCACTCTGTCACTCAGGTTGGCGTGTAGTGGTGCAGTCATGGCTCACCACAGCCTCAACTCAACCTCTTGGGTTCAGGCAATCCTCCCACTTCAGCCTTCCAAGTAGCTGGGGCTACAGCCATGTGCCACCATGCCCAGCTAATTTTATGATTTTTGTTTTTGTTGGTAGAGACAGGGTCTCGCTATGTTGCCCAGGCTGGTCTCCAACTCTTGGGCTCAAGGGATTCTTCCACCTCAGCCTTTTCCCAAAGGCTGGGATTACGGGCACGAACCACCATGCCCGGCCTTTTTTTCCACTATTATGGAAATATTCAAACACATCCAATAGTAGAGCGAATAGCTTAGCAAACTGCACATACTATCACCCAGTTTTCACTGTGATCCACACACAGCCAGCGTTGCTTTTTTCTCCAAAGCACACTGGGCCCAGGCAGCCCTCACTTTAATTGCATCTTTTTTATTCTTCACATTCCTCCTTGTCAACTGGGATGTCCGTGTCTATTGGCTCGTTTGAAAATATGCCTCTTCCCCGCCTCAACGCCATCAACGGGACCGTTAAGGAGCTGCTGGGCCCAGCCTGGTTTTGATGGGGCTGGTGCTAGGCCTGGCCACTGGGGGTGGTGGAGAAAGTCTCTAACAGACATGGGACAATGACAGCCACACCCGAAAGTCTCAATCCCTGTTTCCCCACTACTGACGCTACTGTTTGATCAGGCCACGCAAACAGCATCAGGGCCACCAGGGCGTCAGTCCAGTGATCCCTGACTCAGGCTGGCTGGCAGGCCTGCTGGGTAATGAGCTTCACAGGGTCCTCAGCCCTGGTCTGGTTCAGATTTAAGTGCTCTCACTTTGACCTATGCTTACCGAGCCCTTCCTCGGACAGAGTCCAGTGTAGGGCCCCAAGGGAAGGGAGTCAGAAAAGGCTTCACAGAGGAGGTGGCTGGGCAGGAGAGGGAGAAACTAACTAGCTATGCAGGGGTGGGTGGCCAGGGGAGAAGGTGTTCCAGGCAGAGACGCCAACGATCCAGGGAGAGAGAGAACATACTAAACCACCCAGCAGCGTTGGCTGTGTGAGGGGATGGTGGCTGACAGATGACAACCATCATTATTAAATGATGGAGACTGTTCTTTCAAATGGCTTGGCTGCAAAGAGAAACAGGATGACAGCTGGGGGGATGTAGGGCTGAAACTTTTAGGAGAAAGAACGCCTTGAGTGTGAAAGACACCAGGAAAAAGGGGAGGCTGCAGTTCCAGAAAAAGGACCATCTGAGGAACACAAGCCCTGAGGGGGCAGGGGGCGCCCCAGCATGGGGGGCAGTCAGAAGGCAGACTCCCCACCTCTGGGCTGTGGCCTGGCAGGCGGCTCACCTGGTGCATGGTCCCCTCAATCTCCACAGGCACTATGAAGTCAGCGTTGTTGATCGGCTGGAAGGCAGAAGGGTTAATGATGTCAGCGTGGGAGGAAAGGGAAAGAGGCCCCCACCCTACCTGAGGGGAGCAGAGCTCAGACTCCCGGAAGCCCCTCCCACAGCCCCACCAAGGGTTCCCCCCAGTTCGGGGCATGCCTCCCTTTCTGGTGCTCTCTGCCCCTCAGCACCCCCCGCTTGCCAAATTCTACCTGAGTTGAGGGTTTCAGGGCCTGCGTTAACAAAGACAACAAACAGGGCCGAGAGCCAAAGCTGACCCAATCACTCCCAGGCCTGCCCTGAGCAGGGCCCCGGTGGCTCGCCGTGCCATGTGGCCGGGGGCCGATGTACTCTGCTGTCAGGACTGGGGGGAGTAGGGGGCCCTGCTCAGCATTCTTCAGCGGGGCCTTCAGACACTGGCCACACCAGGGGGCCAAATCGCTGGAGGCCTGGCCCTCCCCCTTCTGGCCCCTCTTCCGCCCGCACCATCAGCACCGGTGGTCAGGCTCGCGAGGGCCCAGGTGGGAGAGGGCGCCGGACGCCGAGGTACCTTAAAGGAGCTGTGCACGAGGGTTTCATCCAGGTCGATGACCACACAGATCCTTCCCTGATCTTCCTCTGTCACCTCTGGGAGCAGGCAGGTCCCCGGGATCTAAAACCAGAGCCAGGCTCCTGGATCTGCCCACTGGGAAAGCCCAGTTGTTCCCCTCAAGCAGAACTCGGGAAGGGCTGGCTGTTTCTGGAGTCAAAATCACCAGCCAGGGACAGACACCACTTAGAGGCAGAGGACAGAAGAGGCAGAGCTGGTTCCTGGGTTCAGCCTCCACTGGGACTACTTTTTTTTTTTTGAGTCAGAGTCTCACTCTGTTGCCCAGGCTGAAGTACAGTGATGCTCACAGCCACCACAGTCTCGACCTGCTGGGCTCAGGCGATCCTTCTGCCTCCGCCTTCCAAGCTGGAACTACAAGCATGCGCCACCACACATGGCTAATTTGATTTACTGTAGAGACAAGGTCTCACTACTTTGCCCAGGCTGGTCTTGAACCCAAGCTCAAGAAATCCTCTTACCTCCACCTCCCAAAGTGCTGGGATTACAAGTGTGAGCCACCATGTCCAGCTTACGAAGGGACTATTAAGTGACCTGAATGTCAGAGGTGGTGCCAGGCTGGTGTGGGAGGAACCACAGAGCAGGGAGAGGGCATGAAGCACCGGCTGTACCCCAAAACCCAATGCCTTACACAGCAACTATATGGAACAAGTGGTCTCCCAGGGCAGGGAGATGGCTGGCCAGGCACCAAGGTGTGAGGGCATCACACTGCCCGTGGGGCCAGCTGGGGATCTCAGGGTCCTGGGTCTTCTCAGCACGCTCCCGGCCAGTCACGTACCTGATAAAATTGGTACTGGAGACATTGCAGCAGGTCCGACTGAGGAAGAGAGGGAGGCGTCAGTGCCATCCCACACCAACGCCTCCCACCCTGGTCCAAACCCACCATTTCTGCTTCATGCCCGGAGGGCACCTTCTCCCCAAGACCCAGCCTCCTGGAAGCCCCTAACAGCCAAAAGTGGCTCTTCCATGAGCCGGGCAGGAAAGGGGAAAGGCCAGGGCTTCCTTTCCACACTAGTCCTCATGACGGACAGAAAAGACGGTGTCCCTGTTCTTAGCTGCCACCGCCTCCTAGTCAGACTTTGAGGAACAGGGGAGGCAAACAGCTGATTCAGGGACATAGAACCAGAGGCAGAACCAAACTCTAAGTCCTCAGTGCGGCACCTCGGCCTCCTGCCCGGTCCTTTAGTCTAGGCCTCTCTCTAAGCACAAGAGTGGTCTATGCCCTCCTTGGGGGGTTCGTGGGCACCTGTAAACACCAAGTACGCCACACTGTGGGTGCCCAAAATGTGAGGAGAGGTAGGGATCAGAAAGCATCCCTAGCCATTTGCTAATAAAGAAAATGTTAGGGTTGGAAAAAGTAGTTAACTGTTCATGGAAACCCTGGAGAAATTAAAGTCTCAGCACTTAGGTAAACTAACGCGGGCATTTCAGTGTACTTCCTTTCCATCTGTGTTAGTGTCTTTTGCCATCAAACTATGTATTTCACATTCTGTTTTTTGACAATGTTACAACTCAATATTTCATGTTATTTCTGAGAACCATTTGTGAAGAGTAATCACTTAGTGACATGCACATTGTACTCTAAGCATTTCTCCCCACTGGAAAACAAAGTGATTTTTCTTTGATGTACCTATCTTTAGCTTGGTTTGGGGGAGGGAAAGGACAGCTAGACCTCAGTGTGTCAGAGAGACGTACCCACTGACATTAGAGGCGGAGTAAGTTTTGCTGGCTCTGGGGCAGTCCTGAAATGCTAGGCATGTCTTCTCGTCATTGTGGTGATCAAAAACACCCCCATTTCCAAATGCCTTACACGGATCCAGGTAAGACTTGCTAGAAGGGGTTATTATGGGAGAGTTTCAATTCCTTAGTTTCCTGCAAGTCTGGTAACTTGGAACATGGTTTCGCATGGTAGAAAACAACACAGGTTTTCGAGCCAGAGAGATCTGAGTTCAAATTCTACCACTACCACGCATTAACCACAAACTCTTCAGGGGCTACAGAAACCTTCTGGGTCTCGGTTTTCCGTGTCTGTTAAGTGGGAGTCCTGGGATCTCCTGGCAGGGTTGCTAGGTGGGTCACACGAGACAACATAGGGAAAGCATCTTGTAGAGTTCCTGGAACCCAGAAGGATCTAGACCTCGAGGGCCCTCAGAAACCACAGGGATCTCCGGAGAGCCCACACCGCAAACGGGAAGCAACAGAAAGGAAATGAATTCTAAGACAGAGCAGAGGAGAACAGAGGGGGGTCTCCTCTGAGCCAGAGATCCTCGAAGCTCAGCCAAGACTGTCTCACCCACTGCTGTCATCTGTGGGGACCTCCCACTAGCAGCCCCTTCCCTGACAGTACTGCGCTCCCAGACCTGCTACCTTAGCAATGGTGTTGGCTTCCTCCTTGTACGCAGCGAGCTCAGTGGAGGAGCTTGACTGGCCAACATGCTGGGCACGAAAACAGCAGAAAAGGGCCTTGAAGATGTTACGTCCACGGGGCTTCTTAGGAGAGGACTTGGAGACCAGGCCTAGAGCAAAGGGATGATGGAGACATTAGCAACAGGGACATCCATTGGTCTCTGTTCATACCTACTCTGTGTCCATATCCACTCTTGTATGCAGGTGCCACTGGGGCAGAGAGGTGGCACAGTACATGCCTGGTAGACAGCCACATGCGGTTAACACTGAAATGTCCCTGTTTGCTCCAGCATTTTCTTTTTAGACCAGAAATGCAGGAATCCCTTGGGAAGTGGGAGGTGTGAGTTATGAAAAATTTGTTCTTCCTTCATGGGACGGAGGGACTCAAACATGGGCCAGGCACGAAGATCTAGGCCCTCAAAATTAATCCACATGGCTGGGTTCGGTGGCTCAGCCTGTAATTCCAGCACTTTGGGAGGCTGAGTTGAGTGGATTGCCTGAGCCTGAGAGTTCGCGACCAGCCCAGGCCACTTGGGGAGACCTCGTCTTTACAATAAACCAAAAATTAGCCAGGCGTGGTAGCGCGCGCCTCTAATTCCAGCCACTGGGAAGGCTGAGACGGAAGGATCACCAGAGCCCAGCAGGCTGACGCTGGGGTGGCCTTGAGTGTGCCACTGCACTGCAGCCTGGGCAACGAGTGAGACTCCAACTCAAAATAATAATAATAATAATCCACAAAGAAAAAAATCCTCCCTGACACCAGGTCCTGGGAAGACTATGCATTCTAGACACAGGACTAACCTAGTCCCCACCTTCAAGTTCATGGAGTGTCAGCGTCCCTAGATGCTAAGTCCATGGCAGCAGAACTGGGCCCAACTTACCTAAAAACCCCAGTCTGGGAACAAGAGTTTAGAAACTGCAGCCCAGCCGGGCTCAGTGGCTCAGCCTGTAATCCCGCGCCTTTGGGAGGCTGAGGTGAGTGGATTGCCTGAGCCCGCGGGTTCGAGACACGCCTGGGCAGCGAGACCTCCTCTTTACAATAAATCAAAAAATCAGCCGGGCGTGGTAGCGCATGCCTGTAATTCCGGCTACTCGGAAGGCTGAGGCGGAAGGATCGCCGGAGCCCAGCAGGTCGAGGCTGCGGTGGCCGGGAGTGGCCACTGCACTCCAGTCTGGGCAACAGAGTGAGACTCCAACTCAAAAAAAAAAAAACAAAAAACAAAGAAACTGCAGCCCAGCCCCAAGGAAGAAGCCACACTCTGCAGACACCCTGTTCTCCCTCCCACACTCCAGCTGCTTTCCTTAATGCTCCCTGCCCTCAAGGACATGAAGCCGACGGATAAAATGCAGATGGATACCCTCCTTGGGACACACACATCCCCCCTCGGGTCCTAGGCTGATGTCGTTGCTTCTGGACTGCAGCTGCTTGGTCCTCCCGAGAACTTGGGCGTTACAGACAGAAAGCCATTTTTTGGGGGGGTCAGAGTCTCACTCTGTCGCCCAGGCTGGAGTGCAGTGGCACACTCATGGCCACCACAGCCTTGACCTGATGGGCTCAGGCAATCCTTAAGCTTCAGCCTTCCAAGTAGCTGGAACTATAGGCATGCGCCATCCCACCTAATTTTTTTTTATTTTTTTTATTGTAGAGATGAGGTCTCACCAAGTTGCCCAGGCTGGTCTCGAATCCATGGGCTCAGGCAATCCTCTCACCTCAGCCTCCCAAACTGCTGGGATTATAGGTGTGAGCCCCTGCGCCTGGCCACAAAGCCATTTTAATAGGAGGCATGGCAAGGCAGCCCAGAAGGGCCAAGCAGACACAGAAAGCCATGGGCGTGACGGGATTGGTCAGAAATTGGCTTCACCTTATCTTTTGCAAGTTCCTTTTGATTTTTAGGTGAACTTTTCTGGCAACTGTTGACCAAGAGTGGAAAGACACGGTGGGCATGGCGGCCAGGAGGTGGCGCTGCAGAACTGCTCGCAGACTGGACCTCAGCCTCAGGTTGCCCCAGCAGGAGACAGGCCCAAGGAGGAAACCCAGGCCATGCAGGGCAAACCGCTGTGCAGGGAAATACGTGCTGGAAATGCCTGTCTTTGTGGGGAAAAAAATGCAAACAAAATGTACCACTCGGGACAAATTCCTGAGTTGTTCCTTGGGATGGGATGGAGGGAAGAGAAAGGCGATATAGTGGGGGCCACCCAGCAGCAACCGGGAGCTTCCCCGACTCAGTCTAATCCTCACAGAGCACGCACCAAGGTGGCCCTTCAGAAGTGGGTGATGGGAGGGCCACTTCACACCTCGCTACTGGGCTGCCTGTGTCCCTGGAGAGAAGGGAAAAACCAAATGATTTCCCAGGACCAGCGGGAGGAAATGGCCCCTACTGTCAGCAAGCACAGGCAGCACCGCACCCAGGACAGCACGCCCAGCTTTGCCTCAGCAGGAGCAGACGCCTCCCTACAGGTGCAGGCTGGGGGTCGGCCCAGGGCTCTGGCTCCCTCTCCTCACTGGTATGGCCGCTGGAAACCTTCTGGAAAATGACTGGGCCTTTCCAGCAATTAGCCTAAAACCTGGCCGTCACTTTCAAGCTCTTGGCCTTGGAGGAGGAACCAGGATTTCCAGGGTTGGGGATTTTGTCATGAGGTGGTTGTGCTAGGAACATCCTCAATGCCTCTGTATCAGAAGACAAAATTCAGGGCAGAGCCCAGCACTTTAAGACAGCAGGAGGCAGGGCTTGGTGTCTCAGCCTGTCACCCCAGCACTTTGGGAGGCCGAGGCGAGTGGATTGCCTGAACCCGCAGGTTTGAGACCCGCCCAGGCAACTTGGCGAGACCTCATCTCTACAATAAATAAAAAAAAATTAGCCGGGCGTGGTAGCGTATGCCTGTAATTTTGGCTACTCGGAAGGCTGAGGCAGAAGGATCGCCGGAGCCCAGCAGGTGGAGGCTGCGGTGGCAGGGAGCATGCCACTGCCCTCCAGCCTGGGTGACAGAGTAAGACTCCAACTCAAAAAAAAAAAGACAGCAGGATGAGCCGGGCACAGTGAGGCACGCTTGTAGTCCCAGCACTCGGAGGCTGAGGCAGGAGGATTGGTTGAGCCCAGGAGGTTGAGATCAGTCTGAGCAAAACAGTGAGACTTTGTCTCAAATTAAAAAAGAAAAAAAAGGAGGGAGCAAGATGAGAGGTTCCTCGGACCCTCCCTCCTACCTCCACGCATAAATCAGAGGGAACACACAGCTTTGCCACATGCCTGTATGGCCCACATTAAATTCAGGCCCAGGGACTCATGACGTCAACACAAAGCTCCAAGACCAAAGCTGAGCCGTCGCTTTTTGGTTTATGGTTTCTTCACGCAGAACCACAATCAGAGGCTTAACCCGGGCACAGAGGCTCTTTTCAAAGGCCACACAGCCTGGGCCTTTCCTGAAGAGAGGCCATCAGGAACGCACTCTGCATCTTAGTGACAGACGCCGTGAAGGCTGAGTAATCCTGAGAGGTAGGGTGAAGGGGGCAGCTGGCCGAGGCCATGGCCATGGCTTGCGCCGGCCGCAGGGAGCCCAACAGGCAGGGCGCCGCAGCCCCAGACAGGAGCTTGGGCTCTGCGGGGGGGCGAGGGTCTCCTCAAAAACACAATGTGGCTGGCAGCCCCTGGGCCTCCGAGGCCACAAACGCCTTGACCTCGGGGGCAGGCGCTCGGAGCAGAGCACCCCAGAGCCACAACGGCAAGGTCACTACCAGAGGCATCGCCCCCTCCCCAGTGGGGCCCCACTTCTCTCAGTGCTTTCCAGGCTGTCTCTCCTCCTCACCTTTACAAATACTGCTCCTGAGAATTCATCTCGGCCAGCTTCAGCCCCCCTCTCCCCCACCCCAACGTGGCGGCCTCCCTGCGAGGCTTGCAATGGCCTCCGCCTGGTACATTCACCAGCCTCTCTGGCCCTCTGCATAGCAGACGCTCAATAACGTGGACTGGCTGAGTGACGGACTTCAGGGGCCCCCAGGGCCTGTCACTTCTACGGAGCTGGGACCTGGGGAAGCCTCCATGAGTTTGCAACGGCCCAGAAGAGCTGGAGACAGAAAAGCTCCCTTCCCGTGAGGAGGGGAAGGCGGCACCGAGGGAGCCGAGGACCCCCAAGGCGCATCTCGGTGGTCCTGGGCCTAGGCTGGGTTCACCCAACACCAGGGCTGTGTCCGGCCTGGGTCAGGCACTTGACGTGCGCTCATGCAATCCTTACCACACACCCATTCGTAGACACGAGTTCCCCATTTCACAGAAGGGAAACTAAGGCACAGAGAGACGTTAAGTCACCTGCTCCAGCTCATGCAGGGAGACGGCATCAGAACCGGGATCTGAACTCATGTCTGCCTGAAACCGGAGCCAGGTTCTTAACCGCCGCCCCAGAGGCCTCTGCCAGTACAGGGGCCATGTGCACGCTGCTTCACGCAACGGCTGGGAGGTCTGGGCCCTCACGACTCGCTGTCCTCTTCGGGGCAGCGGTGAGAGGCATGTCCAACCCAGCCCCCATGCCCTCTCAGGCAGACATCAAAGGTGCAAGGGGTACCAGGGCGAGGTGCTGGAACCCCATTCTGGGGACCCCACCCCCACCATGCCCTGCCCCTGCTCTGACCTCTGGGGAATCAAGATGACAAGCAGGGAGGCAGAGGAGGGGCGGACTGGAGCTGGGAGCTTTGATCCTAGACCTGCTTTGTGCGGTGGGTTTAAGGGTGGGGCAACCACACAACAGAGTGGGGTCTGGACTGTGCCAAAGAGCCTTTTACAGCCAGCACTCAGCAGGGCATCCTGACAACCAGGTGCAGCCCTCACCCCCATGTGTGAGCGGGAGGGGCACCAGCCCGCCTTCCCCAGAGAGGGACACCAGGCATGAGAGGACTGGCAGGCCCGTAGGGGCACATGGCTTCCCCGTGGGGGGGCAGGATTCCGGTGGGGGTCACCGGCACTCCCCATTCCGTCCCCCACGGCCCTCTGCAGACACCCAGCCCTCCTCTCCTGCCCAGCTGCCGCTGTGTCTGCTTTACCTGCTCCAGACATCGACGGCCAGCACAGACCCAACAGGGGAGCCAGCTATGGCTGAAGAAGAAAGCAGGTGAGGCTGAGGC